GGCGACAGCACAGATGACGTGGCAAGCATGCAGTAACAGCAATCAGTCAAAGTCACTGCCACAGGCCCAGTTTGATTAAGGCAAACCCCAGGCTAGAGCTTTGGTTGGTTTAGCTCATCAGGCTGTGCAAGTGACCTACATGTGTTTAGGCTAATGCAGGAAAACATCCCCTCTGTAAGCAGTGTCCTCATGGTCACCACCAAAAAAGGAAAGCAAGTCTTCAATTTGAGGTCAAGGACTTCTGTCACTCTGCAAAGAGAACATGTATAACTAAAGGTTTCTGTAGTGCACAGGGAAACCCTGGAAGTGTCACAGTAACATAAAATCCAAGAGTTGACATTGTTCTATTTTAGGGTTATGAACTCAGCATGAGGAAAAGAGCAGCAGCCCCTCATTCTTACGCGTTTCCTTTTCACTTCAGTGTATCTCCCTTTCAGCAGCTATTTCCCTCGTCTGATTGTGCAAATAAATCAAAGGCTGATTGTTTCTAATTTTAGGCAGCACCCTCGCAAGTCTACGAGTTAATGTGCCAAATATTTGTGTGCCTTTCTTCAAGTCTGTGTATTCAGCTTGTCTCATAGTTGCCGTGTCCTTTTAAGTTTAGCGACAAAGATGTTTGAGTAACCTGCTTCAGAGCTGGACAGCCAAGATAACGATAATATAACAAAGGAAGCAGTGATTAAAAGACGCAGTGTGATTTCAGCATGTTCAGCTGTACAGGTCCAACAGAAAGTTTTCCTTTAAAAGAAAAGTTTTTGTTATATAAGCTCGCCTGTCTCTGCCCGTCTGAGACCCTCACGTTCACTTTTATTGAGGGGAACAAAGTCAATATCCATGCGCCAGCGTCACTGTGCTAATGTGTGTATATTATCCTAACCATAGCTCTCTAGCTAACCACCATGTGGCGCACCATTATGTGCCAACTTCAGTAACCCTACAAATCAGGCCACTGTGTGGTTTTGTCTTTATTTATATCCAGTGATAGCAGCGCTGTATGTTTTAGTTTTTCAGAACTCCCTCAGTCAGAAAACGGTCCATCATCTTTAGATAGCACAGAGTTAGATCGCTAGTTTCTAACTTGTAACGCTGTTAAACTTCTTAAATCCTGTTTTTCATGGATGCTTGTATGTTCAGCTGTATTGTCACACCTTTTAGAGCAGCCACACTGATCATTTGGACGGTTTTTGACTCAGCAGTGTTTGAGTTTGGACCCAGAAACAGCCATTGACTGTGTTTTTAGTGGAAAAGTCATGTAATCAAGTTCTTATTCCTAAGGCTCAAACCAGATGGTGGGAGCTAAACTCTTGCATATCTCTGGGTCTCCCACTCCTCCTCTCTTCATTGTGTGTGTGTCTCCTGTGTGTTTTTCTTCTGTTTTTTTAAACACTGCTCTGTGTTTCTCTGTTCTTTCCTTCCACCTCCATCCATCTGGTTTTTGGTGGTGTACGATGTCAGGAAGCCAGGGAAACTGACCTGTCGCCCAGAGTCCAAACCCATCTGAAAGCATTATTTTCACAGCTGCATGCAGAGAGAGGAAGGGGTGGGGGGTGGGGGGTGTGCTGAAATGAAGCTACGAGGAAATGTAAAGAAACGGACAGATGCTAGTTTTGGCATGATGACATTTAACATGTTTTCTGTGAGTATTTGTAGTTTTTCTTTCTTATCCTCGTGCACAGGATACGTTTAAGATCACAGAAAATGTAAACGTGTTCTTGCTACCATAGTAACTATCTAAATGTTTCTAATAGCCTTTTTTTAATATAAAAATATACTACACTCCTGTTGTACTAAAGTGGTACTCACAGAGGTCAGACACCATGGCATCAGTAAAGATGAAACCTCGATGTAAAGTCTGTACCAGAAGCATGCCAGGGGTGTGAAATACAAAACAAGTCCAGCCTGGGAACGATAGACCTCCGTGTAGATGGCACACAGCTGAAAGTCTAAAGGAATCTCTTTGATCCTAAATGATTCAGTTTAAAATAAATATTAGTCCCGTTTTTCTCAGAAACATAAATCAGCACAGTCACATGACCCATAGTAATCTAATTAGGCCATTTGAAGCTCGATGACAGGACATTTGATACTTTTTTCAAACTTCAGATTTGTCCTCAGTTAGTTTTACGCCAGGTTCTGCTCTGGTGTTAGTTTGCACAGGTCTTTGGCTAAACAGAGTAAAGGACTGCACAGTAACTGTAGTTTAAGTGTAAATAATAATGTCTTTGTTAGCATGTTAGTTTTCTAAAACCAGAAGGACCATGTTTGGATGATGTGGTTCAGTATTAAGTTGTTAGCAAGCTGTGAAACACAAACACATATGCTAATTAGTGCTAACACTAGACTTTCATT